AATAATTAAATAATTTGTTTGAAGTTTTATTAGTGAAATTTGACTTATCAAAGTATGAAAGCGCTGAGAAAGACAGTTGCCGTATTACAAGAAATGTTCCCCCTTTTAGAACAAGTTCTAGATTAGTTCCGTTATCACAAGTCACAAAATATTTTCATTCCAAATATTATCAGTAAAACAAAAATAAAAGAGAGGCAAAATATACCAAATGAACATTCACTCTCATAAGTCGAAAAAAAACTGACAATGCCATGTCTCAAAAAAAAAACGACGAAAAGACAAACAACTGTACGCAAACCACAACATAAAAAAGTGACTGAGCAACACGAACCCCACCTGAGACCGGGGCGATCTCCGGTGCCCTGGAAAGATATGCAGATTCTGCTCCACATGTGACACCCGTCGTGTTATTCATGTAAATACAAACCCGATGATACGTCTAATTCAGGAGGTCACATTCGGGGGAAAGAGGACAGGATTGGGGTTACAATAGAAGGAACATATCCGTCGTCATCTGTAAATAAAGGCAACAGTAGTATACCGCTGTTGAAAAGTCATAAAACGATTAAGAGAAAACAAATCTGGGTTAGAAACTTAAACCGAGGGAAACACATCAACTATAAGAGGAAAACAACGGAACAACAGAAACACTGAAAAACTGATATGCAACAAAAACAAACGCCAACATACATAGAAACGGACTATATTATAACAACTGCCATATTCCTGACTTGGTACAGGACATTTTAAGAACAATTGGTGGGTTAAACCTGGTTTTATGGCTACACAAACCTCCCGTTTATATGGCAATGTTAAAAATACCGCAAAATAACAACATTACGTGACAGGAATACAGTACAAACAAACGCAAGAACACCAAGGAAAGAGAAACACATAAATAAATAATATAATGGTACATTACAACATGTAAACCACAGAATAACAACGGACACCTCCCATTAACGACAGCACAGGACACCACAAACACAGAGACGTATTTTTGTGACGTATATATAATCTTGAAAGTCATACAATTATATGGAACGAGATCCAAAAATTCACAATTATTTTCACAATACTAGTCCAAATAATTATCATGATTATGACTGTCTTGAAAGGCTATCTTAAATTAATGCTGTGACGACGTCATAATTATTTGGACTAACACAATACTTTATACATGGAAAATGGAAAGTAACTCGACTATACTGACAAATAAGACATATATACAAAATTCAAACAACAAGCGATAAGACATAACAAAATATCCAACCGAACTTACAAAAGAAACATCATAACTAAATACGTGAATGTTGGATGTATTAATACCGAGACACGTCGTACAGCAATGCAAATTCACACTCGGCAAAACAGTCATATTCGGGAATATGTCACGTTCGGTACTTAGAAGACAAACGACGTAGATGGTAAACCACAATCTAAGACGTGGTACAAATGTCGTTAGTTAGTTTAGACACAGACACATCGTATAGATCAACCAATTCGTGATGGTAAAACAGATATTCCATAACGTGAATAACGTCAACCAACATTTGTTCCACCCGTTTATTTGGGGCTCAGATCTGGCCACCGCTAGAGCTCGGTGCACTATCAGTGGAGCCCAGAAATAACAAACATTTGCCCAAAATATGTCCATGGGGAAATTCTCTTTCCTTATTCAAAGAACTTAAAAGGCCTTAAACATTATTCTAGAACACTTCTTGAGTGTTCAAATTAATCCGAAACCATACCAAAAAATAATAAAAAAATACAAAATACAAAGGTTGCAGGTTTGTCACTAACTGGAAATTAAAAAAAATATATGTAAATCGCAAACAAATTTCGTGGTGAGTGTGTGGAAATCTCATATTTAATGCATTGTATATAATACAAAGTAATTTTGAAAGTAAAATAAGAAATGTCTCCCCTTTTAGAATAAGTTCTAGATTGGTTCCGTTTTCCCAAGTCACAAAAATAGTGTAAAACAGTGTCAACAGTTAAATATTTTAAGGACTCTTAGCTTAAAGAAAACATTTCCACTCAGTCCAAAACACTCAATTAAAACGAAGAACTATATTAATAAACTCACCATAGATACCAATTTTCGTTTTAAATTTTCACGGTACATCAGACGCGCATTTCGTCTACAAAAGACTCATCAGTGACGCTCGAATATTCAAAGTCAAAAAGGCAAAATAAAGTACGAAGTTGAAGAGTATTAATGAAGACCCAAATCCCGAAAGGTTTTGCCAAAAACGGCTAAGGTAATCTATTCCTGGAGTAAATAATCCTTAGTATTTCGGAAAATTGTCTTACTTTATACAAAGTAATGTAGACCCTGCCCCAACCATTGAATTACGAAATTTCACGTGCTGAAGCGACCAAGAGTTAGTTTTATACATATTTATATTTAAGAGTCAATACAGGGCCTTATCCATGATGTCTCATGGGGGTAATTTTGAGACACGAAGCTGTCATACTTTCAATCGGAATCTCATATTTAATCGTTTTTCTTAGTGAGTATGCGTTTACGTCAGGAGCCGGTCGACAAAACTATTTAAACAAAAACCCACACTGGTTACTGGTATCGTGTCTTTTGGGTCCTGGGATTCTGTCGAACTCCATGTACCCCGGCAACTCACCGTTGCGTATCTTGTCATTGTATGGATTATAAGAAAGGAATAAACACTTTTATTCGATGGTTGTTTCTATTGCATCATCTTGCTTACATGATTAATTGATGTAATATAGATTTGCTTCAATACAGTGAACTGCATACTTTCGTAAAATACGCATTTTACCATCACTTGATCACATGGACCGGTTTATACTGGATTGGATCTTAAACACGGCACCTATCTTTTCTTTGCTCCCAAGGAACCATAATTTATTCAGGACTAATAAATTGTTTTAATCCATAATTTGGTATTTGCCGTTAAGTCACAAAATGCACTGGTGCGTAAATAGTTTGACGAGCAGATCAAACAATCTAAATACATGAAATGTGCCACGCTTTAAAAATGATTTGTTGAGGGGCAGAAGGACCTTTTTCGGGACGTCGGGATTGGGCCTTTATTTTCGCGGGAATTCGGGATTTACACCTATTGGGACTCGGGAATTAATGATTAATTTTACGGGATCCGGGAAAGAATACTTTATTTTTTCGGGAATTAATTCGGGATGACACCCCATCCTACCGCCCTTCTTTGGTAGACTGTATTTAGAAGTTCTGGGCAAATATCAATGGAAAAAATAGGTAAAAATTTAGAAAACAGTCGGGTTTGCATTTGGAATAGCTTGGGTGGATGTTTGACTGCAAATTATGGATAGTAAAGAGACTGCATTAATACAACACAAACAATTAACTGTATCACTGCGCCTGGAAATGAAGTCTGCTATATAGCTGTTATCAGATCTTTTTTTTTTAAAGTGTATATAGTGATTACAAATTACAATCCATGTAAGTAAGCAGCCTGTTGTTCAGTGGTTGTCGTTTGTTGGTGTGATTCATAGGTGTTTCTCGTTTCTCGTTTTTTTATATAGATTAGACCGTTGGTTTTCCTGTTTGAATTGTTTTACACTAGTCTTTTTGGGGCCCTTTATAGCTTGCTGTTCGGAATATGACAGTTGTTGTCCATTCGTTTGATGTGTTTGTGCTTTTGATTTTGCCATTTGATTAGGGACTATCCGTTTTGAATTTTCCTCTGAGTTCAGTATTTTTGTGATTTAACTTTTTTCGGTTTGAGCCAAGGATCCGTGTTGAAGGCCGTACTTTGACCTATAATTGTTAACTTTTTATACATTGTGACTTGGATGGAGAGTTGTTTCATTGGCACTCACACCACATCTTCTTATTTAAATATTGTATTTGAGGAATGTAATTTTCAATATGAAATCAAGCAAAAATACTTTTACTCGATCTTGAAACAACTAAATAATGGAAAACTTGTGCACTCTATTTCAGGTCGGTAAACAAAATGGCATAAACATAATACCAATAACGGCAATGCTTTTACTAATTTATCTTTTAAATACCTTAAAGCAGATCTTACAATGGCCGTTCGTAGACCTTGATGATGATGATGATGATGATGATGATGAGGAGGAGGAGGATGACGATGATGATGATGACGACGACAACGACGACGACGACAAAGACGATGACGTTGATGACGACCATGATGATGATGATGATGATGATGATGATGACGATGATGATGATGATGATGAGGAGGAGGAGGAGGAGGAAGTGAATGAAACAAAGAATAAAAAAGTTGGTAAGGACAGACAGACGGATTGCATATAACTTTGTTTACGGTAGTATGATAAAGAAGGGAGGGAAAAAAATAGTATATTATCTTAAAAATGTATAATAATAATTAAATGATATAAAATATATTCTTACTATCCCTGCTTCTTTAATTTGTAAGGTGTGTTTATCGAAAATCTGCCGGTAATTTATCTGTTTGGAATAATTTCAATTTAAAATTTGCAAAAAATATTTGTCAGCAATTTTCAAACACTTGATCAATTGTGAAAGAGTGGTAAACCTGGCGTTGTTCCATACACTGTATGGTACTTAGCCTAGCCTAGGGGTCTTTTTGTTTATTTACTAAATTAATATATCGTAAATGCATTATTACAACAGATAAATCTGCGTACACTGAATCGTCAGAGAATGACGATTTTGATCTGATTAGAGGAGTGCTAAGTTTACACAGGTTACAATTATAAAACAATATTCATAACTGATCCTTTTATCCTTCTACTGTAGCATAAATAGTTATTTTACATAGGATTCTAGGTTATGTTGAGTTCCACTAAGACAGATTTCACTGTAGTATAAATAGTTAAAAATTTAAATTATTTGTTGTATATATACTGACTAAAAGATAGTCATTGTTATTGTTAGAAAGATCAATTTTCTGATATGTTAAGACAAATAATTTTCCCCATGCACAAAACATTTTACAAAAGTTCAAAACTGTTTAATGATTCCATTGGTCAAATAGGTGTACAGTGATTTAAGAATACGTTTAGTCTCATGCAATATAAAAGAAGAATTAAGATGACTTTAAAAGGAGTATGTTATAGTAGAAATATAAAAAATATAAGCTATTCATGATAGGAAAATTATACATTTGCTACATAATGGCTTATTCTCTAAAACCGCATTCAGCTCGAAGAGCCCAAGTTCTAAAAGATTGTGATCTGTGTAAGGCTAACGCTAACGTTCATTATAAATGTGTTCAGTGTAAGAACTATATGTGTAAAAGCTGCAGTAAAATTCATCACAGCGAAAGAACTTCCCAGAAACATGAAGTTATTGATATTATATCATTGCCATTTAAGACGTCAGAAGCTTTTCAGTTAGGGAAGATGGACAACTTTACATGTAAAAGGCATAAAAAGAAAATGTGTGTTGCTTTTTGTGAAGATTGTGAAGTGCCCGTATGTAAAAGATGCATGGATAAGATACATGATGACCATAATGTTTTAGAGATAATTGAACACTGTCAAAATCAAGCTTATGTTTGGGAAAGCAGAATTTTAAAGGATTTATCATTTTGCCAAAATGAGATGAAACAAATTCAAAACATTGATAGCAAATACGAGTCAGCTCACGAAAATGAACTGCGTATGATTGATCAAAGAGAATATGAATTTAAAAATGCTATACATAAATATGCTAATGAATTGCGTGATGTAATTGAAAAAGAAAGACAATTACAAAAACAACATATGGAAGATTCTAAAAAGAAAGTCACAGAAACTGAACAAATCCTGACTACCAAACAGGATCAGCTCAGAACATCAAAAACAAAGTAAAGAAACAAAAAGAATTTTCAAAACAATTGAAAATATAAAAAATGACATTCCAGATTTAAACTTTAACTCTTTTTCTCCTAATATAAAAAAATTCTACCCAGGGGAGACAACTATTGATGTGTCAAATCTATTTGGTGCAATTCAGATCACTGGGATATCAGAGGAATCAAGTCACATTGACTTGAAAGTTAATCAGAGCTATACAACAGATTTAGGACTTGTAAGCAGTATAGTTACCCTGGACAATGAAAATGCATGGCTTTCTGATGACATAATTGAATCATTTCAGAACATAAATGTTAGTGAAAAGATAAGCATATTGACGGAAATACCGCTTAAGGTTCTTGATACAGCTTTAACACCAAGTAAAGACATTCTCCTTTCCTTTTTTCACACTACTAATGTCTGTCTGCTAACAAAATTAGGAGAAATTAAACTTTTCATGTTTGTATCACCTTTCAATACCTATGGTCTACATGCTACTAAACAAAAGGAGATTATTTTAGGTATGGCTGAGGCGAATGCCACATTCAATATAACAGATAAAAGTTGTAGGAAAGTAATGTTCTTTGGAATGGATGGGAGGCCTAAACAATCTTATGAGTATGACATACATAAACAAAGACTATTTACACTTCCTGTAAGAATCACATCTAATCATATTAACAATGACATACTGGTTATAGATCGTACTTCCCCTGATGATGGTAGAGTTGTGGTAATAGACAGGAAGGGACAGTTTAAGTGGACCTACTATGGACATCACCGAGCTAACTTTGGGTACAAACATTTTAACCCTTCAGGTATTGTAGCAACAGCAAATGGTCATGTTATCATAACAGACTTTTTAAATCATGCTTTGCACATCCTGTCAAGGGAGGGAGATATACTTTCATGTAAACTTATGGAAGACCAAGGTATATGCTATCCATACTCAATTGATATTGACAATATAGGACAGTTATGGGTTGGTTGTGACTCAAGTAACGATAAAAAGAACAATGCAAAGCTACACATTTTACAGTTGACTCTCTGACTATCAAACTGAAATATATGAAACCAATACTGTAAATTCAGAAATTTTTGCAGGCATTTATTTTTGCGATTTTTGCTCAATGGACAGAAATGTCAGATTAAATATTGCATAAATTAGATATATACTATAGTCTTTACTCAAAATGCAAAAAAGGGTAAAATGTCCATGGCCAATCATTCCTACAGGAAATAGAATAAAGAATGCAATTTCGGCAATATTGACCTTTTCTAGATATTGTAATGCGGATCATTTTTACTTTTTATTTTTCTCTCCATGTTCTATAGTATTTACCCAAAATGCAAAGAATGAGTAAAAATTGGCATTTAAGGACCCGGGTTAATACAAGGAGTAGACTGGAAATTTAGGCTACGTTACTTATTTGTTACTCTTGACTTGCTTATCATTATAATTTATGCTGTATACAGTTTTTCTTTATCTACTTTAGTTTTTTTTCGAAAAATGGAAAAATGTGTAAAATCCTCTTTTAAGGAAAATAAGTCCTGTAGGAAATCAAATGACAATTTTGATTCTGTAAACATACTTATAGATCTTGTCCAGCTGATCATTTTTGCTGTTGAAAGGTTTTCTCTATCTATTGTAGTTAAAATAGGCAAAACAAAAAGTAATGGTAAAAATCATGATTTAGGAGCAAATACTCCTAAATGAAAGTCAACTGACGAATTCAACCATTTTGACAATTTTAGAGGCCTTGTATTGCTGATATTGTTTAAAGCTTCTGTCTATCTATCATAGTTTTCAATATTAATTCACTTAAACTATACAAAATCTTGAAGTCGTCATTTTTAAAAGGGCAACAACTGGTAACAGGAGTCATCTGACAATTTCAATCGAATGTACTTTAGGTAGCTCTTAAATTCGGAACATTTTTGCACCAGTGATATTTCTCTATCTATTTTTTTCACAACAAAAGACAATACTTGAATTTAACCCTATGATTTATTTTCAACATTTGCGGCCAGTTTGGTTTGTAAGCTTGATAATTGGACACATTTATTAAACAAGACACCTCGAGAATGGTTGTGAACAACTTTGGTTCCAATTGGCCCAGTAGTTTTAGAAGAGAATATTTTTGAAAATTTTAAAGAACGATGAAGGAAGACGATATAATATTTGATTATAATTTATTATTACTTAGTTATTTAAAAACAATCGTGATTGTACATTTATATTGCAGCTGGAAAAGCTCATTTCTTATACATAGTAACAAAGGGATATTTTGTACAATGTAAATTTCATGTCAATCACTTTCCATCACATTTTATAATGTTGAATAAAAATAAGGATTTTACTTGCAGTTATTAGTGTAAAAACAATCACGGTTCATAATTTATGAACAGTACTGTAGTGGAAGTAATCATAATCTATATTGACCTCCATCTTGTCATTAGAAACAACATATAAAGTTACAAAGAATGAGATAAATGGTTCTCAAGTGATTGCACAGAAAATACGTATTATGTCTCCATATTCCTATGCATTTTCTCATGTTTAGATTGCACATATACGGAACTATTAATTAAATATGGCCTGACACTGTTAGAATTTGTCAAACATCTAATATTTAGATAAAAGGTATTGTAAACTTTAAAGATGTGGTATGATTGTCAATGACATGTGAACTACAGCTCACCAAGTGGCCTGTAACAATGAGCAAAACCCCAAAAGTAGTATTAAACTTGGATTAACTCTACATGGAATTTATGTGCATCTTATATCTATTATTCTTTTATCTGATTTTCTTAAGAAGAGATGTCCAATAACAATAAATTTGTAATTGTTTGCTGACAATATCCTCCTTCAGCTGATATCATGATAGTCAGCATAATTGTTCAAAAGATCAATTTTTATAAAGCTAGTATCAAAACTTAGTTGTCGAAACAAAAGATTTTACAAACTGAATATTTCCAGTGCGATGAATATGTATATATAATCATGCCCTTTGTATCAAATCTTGAAACATGTTATCAATGGATATCTAAAGTTTCAATGTGTAAATAGAAAAAGGATAAAACATCTTTTCTCATGCAATATAGAACAAAAATTAAAGAAGATGACTTTAAAGTAATATCTAAAAGTAGATATAGGTTATCATATTCAACACTAAATTTGTGAACATTCCTCATTAAAGAGAAATAACTCCGGTAAAGAGTCAACTGATGCTTTTATTCATATTGGTATTTTTGTGGATCTTGTATTGTTGATCCTTTTAATGCAGATCTACAATGACCAGTCTGAGACTTTTTAACACATGATTATGATATACACACATGAAATTTTCACACAATATGGAGTTAACCTTTAAAATACTAAGAGGTTGATATTTAAAATGATATTTACGTTGCTTTAAAATTACATCAATCATGCATTTTGCGAAAATGTGGTCTTTCCTAAAACAGCTACACATTTTTAATATTATATATTTTACTTATTTGTGTACATCTTGAAATGGATAGTTATCCTTTCCACTGTCTGATCAGCAGACAAAATTGACTTCACATATAATATGGAATGTACCATGGATTATAAAGTTATCTCCCCTTTCAAATTTTTAATAGTACAACGTAGTCTAATTTTTTACCAATGACTTTCATATGATTTTGTAACCCACACACTTTCTCGTTTCTCGATGAATGAACTGACATTTTTTTTAATAACGTTACGGTTATGAGTTTCGAACAGCGGTATACTACTGTTGCCTTTGTTCATGTGATGTTTTAATCCCATTTATACTTACTAGAGCTTTCCTGTACCATGGAGTTGACTTTCTTTCAAATATCCTCCCGTTACCTTTCTTGGTTTTCTGTTGTGTTTTATGTAGTGTTGTTTGTTTGTCCTTTTTTTTTCTTTTTAGCCATGGCGTTGTCAGTTTATTTTCGACTTGTGAGTTTGAATGTCCCTTTGGTATCCTTCGCCTCTCTTTAACCATTGTATTGTTTTATAAGTAGCGTCCCATTATGCAATCAACTTGTTCTATTGAAAAAGAAAAGACACATATTTATTTTCAAGTGCTGTTACAATGGAAAAAATGCTATCCAGGCAAATTTTACAGTTTTGCATAAAATCCACCAAGTTTGATTTTTTTCTAGAGCAAATACATGAAATAGGCAATACGCAATTCCAAAATCTGTATTTTGATATCTGACAGACTAATATCTTGTGACGAACTTATTAAAACTTTAAAGGACATGTAGAAGTTAAGCTCTAAATTGCCCCTAAACTATTAACTATTAAAGTATGATGTGTCAGGCCATTTCCAGCTGATTTTTATAGTTTAATATTATTTTCTGCTGTAACACTACTGTCAAAGGTTAGTGGGGCAGGAGGAGCTGGGTTTTGCTCATTGTTGAATTCAGTTACATTGACTTCAAATCCACGTCATTTGAACTGGTGGATAGTTATTCCAATGATTTCGAATAAATGAATAGGCTTAGCAGTCTTTAGAGAAGTTAAAACATGACTTTCAATAGAGCTTAAATTGGAGCAATGTGCAACCACTGCCACCATGTTTCCGACCCATTCAACATTAACTGGGAGCCTTTGTAGAAGGTGTCCAAATTATCAATTCTGTAAAGTTTCAAAACACTTTGCTTTGTAGTTTCAAGAGAAGATTTTTGAAAATTGATCATTCAGATCTGACATCAACGTTTATCTTCAAATCATTATCAAATAAGAATTATTTGTAAGGGACCTTCCATAAATCATTCCCTGTCAAGTTTGGTTTAAATGTGTATGTACTTTTATATCATCTTTAAATGCTGTTTTTACAAGGTCGCTCAATAATCATGCTTCTGTAGTGTTTCAAAACAGTTTTCCTTTTAAAATCACAAAAGATTTTTGAAAACTGGCTAATCAGAATCAAAGATTGTCTCTGCTGGTCATGTTTTTTCTTCAATCAGAACCGAATGAGGATTTGTTTTAGAGAACCTTAAATACATCATGTCTACTAAGTTTGGTTAAATTTGGGCAAGTCGATTCAGATAGGAAGATAGAAATGTGAAAAATTAACAGACAAATGTACAAAGAAAAACAAAGATTGAGCAACATGCATGAAACCCCTCTTTCACAAATGATTCTAGGTGCCCTGGAAAA